GCCACCTTAGGTGTATGTGGCTGGCGCCTTAGCCGCTTGAGCCACAGGCGCCGAGCCAAAAAATCACCAGTCTTAATAAGACTGGTGATGTCCTCATGGCATTTGCCCCATCAATCTCTCCCCAGCTGCCCACTGTAAGACAGAGGCTTTCAGAGGGCACGTCCCCTGGTCTCGGTTCCTCCATCCTATTGTCTGTCTCCCATTAAGTTCCAGGATGGCTGGACCCTTGTCTGTTTTGTTCTCAGCTCCATACAGTAAGAGCTTAAGAAATGCCTAATGACACAGGCCTGATGCAGAGGGAACCCACGCATAGAGTCCAGGGAGAAGCTGCGAGTGGAAAACGAAGAACGCCTGGCTCAGTCCCTGAAGCCACGCCCCCAGGACCCCGCCTCCTCAGGGCGCGTGTCCCTTTAAGGGCTTCCGGGCCGAGCTTCCGGGTGGGGCGCGCGCCACGGCCTCGGTCTGGGGCTCGAGTCTGCGCGCCCGCGCTGCCCGCGCCCCCCACGCCCCCCGCGCCCCCCGCGCCCCAGTCTGCCGACGCTTCTCCTCCGAGATGGTCATGTCTCCCTGCCAGCCTGGGCGGGGCGGCACGGCCCAGGCCCCCGCGCCCAAGCTGGGCGACCGCGAGGGGCCATGATCCGGCTGGGCGGCTGGTGCGCGCGGCGGCCCGGCGGCGCGGCGGTTCCCCCCGGGCGGCGCTGGGCTTGTCCAGGGCCGCCGGTTCGGACGGGGCGGGCGGGCTGCCGCTCCCTGCGGGTGCTGGTGGACATGGACGGCGTGCTGGCCGACTTCGAGGGCGGTTTCCTCAGGAAGTTCCGCGCGCGCTTCCCCGACCAGCCCTTCATCGCGCTGGAGGACCGGCGCGGCTTCTGGGTGTCGGAGCAGTACGGCCGCCTGCGGCCCGGGCTGAGCGTGAGCATCCCCCGCCCCGGCCCCGCGCCCACGGCGGGCGGGGAAACGAGGCCGCCGTCCCAGCCCCGAGCCTGGGCAGCCTCTGCGCGGGCTCCGGAGCCTGGGCGCCCAGGTGACCTTGGGCGGGTCACCGCCCTACTTAGGGGTGACAGATAGGGTCCTGGGGAGGACCCGGGGCAACAGCGCACAGGGAGGGCGCTGTCACCGAGGGCTTCTGAAAATGCTTGGAGTAGTACAAAGCCTAATATGCCCAACTCTCTGTCTTCAGCAGAGTTTTAAATTTTTGGCATATTTGGCCTCGAGTCATTTGTTAAATTTTTATATTTATTTATTGTTTTGGAGACAGAGCCTCAAGCTGTCGCCCTC